GGTCAGAAACTCCTGTGCCAAACGCTCCCTCTCCACCTGGGGAACGTATTCATCTCGGAACATGGTAGTGAACCTCTCCCAGGTCACTGCCGAAAGCTTAGCAGGCGTGAAATGCGCCGTCACAAACTTCCACCAGTCCTTCGCTCCCAAGCGAAGCTGGTTCAGCGCGAACCGAACCTTCAGATGCTCAGGAGATGAGCAAGTGAAGAAGCACCCCTCCATATCAGATATCCACCTCATAGCTGCCACCGGATCCTGTGTACCATCAAACTCTGGTGGTTTGGTGTTGCTGAACTCCCGAAACAATGACGCATCACCTCCTTTGGGGTCTCGCCGCAGCAATCGCTGCGATAGCTGCTGCAACAGCAGCCTCAGAAAGAGCGGCGTAACGCTCATCAGATGTCTCAATCAGCGTGGTCTTAATAGACCCGAACATCTCTGGTATCTCAACTCTGATGACCGCAGCCACTTCCTCATGAATGATCTGTCGAATCTCCTCATCACTAGCTCTGGCACCCTCCGGCATATGATGTGTCCTCACCATGATCAACCTCTGAAATACAACATGCGATAAATTAGAATTCACTCGAACATTCTTACACTCGACAATCCACCCCTCCTTGATTCTTGGTATCCAAAGATTCTTATTTGGACTGTGTACTGCCCCGGTACTTTCAGTAGTACGGGCCCAATACTACTGTCCACACCGTCTTAGTACATACCCCAAACCTTCCTCTTCGGATCCCAATTCCCAAGTACTCTATCATGCGTAGACCACTCTCTAATAGATCTCTCATAAGCCCCTTGCTGCTACCTACTCACTCTCAGCATCTCATAGCAGCTCACCCCTCCCTAGGCTAAGGCATCACAAATCAGGCCACTCTAGTCCTATTAGCAATACCTAGCCTACTCTAGCATGCAGATACATCATATCAATATCAATATCACGTAATATAAAGGTATTTTGGGAATTCACCGTTCGGGCGCTGACTGATTGTACACACGTTTCTTCCTGGAATTTGTTTCTTTTTCAAGAAAATCTTTTACTCTTAGAAAAGTTAGGTTTTCTATTGAAAATATCTTTCCAATTCCTCAGTTTGAGTTCAAATACTCCCGAAGGTGTACCCGAATCCCTCAAACCAAGGCTCTAATACCAAATTGTAACACTGTAAATTTCAAAACAAAATTTTCGATTTTCTTATAAAACAAAATTCGATTAATATTCATCAACAACCATATTAATTATCCAATATAGGTCAATACAAAATCCCAAGATCACAATGTAAAAACTCCGAGTGTGTGTGTACGGATCAAGCCGGCGCCTTCCCGCGGTCGTCACTAGTACCTGAAACAATAACATCAAACACTGTAAGCACAAGGCTTAGTGAGTTCCCCAAAATACCACATATAACACATATTAGCCACTCGAGGCTATAACTCTGTGGGTCCGTGCACCCAAACTCTGTGAACCCTCAGGTTCTAGCTCTGATAAACATGCACTACATAAATCACATAGAAATAATGCAGTACAACACATAACATACATAGCATACAAATACTCTATCACATAACTCTGGTTACCTACTCAAGGTAATATAGTATAGTGAGAAGACTCACCTCGCGTATCTCGGTATCTCACGAATCCTGGAAATCCCTCGTGCTCGATCCTCCGAGCTCTAATCCTCCTATAACATTATATGTTTCTAATTAACACTTTATATCTCTAAGGTTGACTATCCATAAGAAGTCAACACAGGTCAACTCTGGTCAACGGTCAACGGTCAACTCTGACCGGACTCGGCGAGTACCATGGCGACTCGGCGAGTCTAGACGTTTTCACCAACCCTCTGAAATCCCCTTACTACACGTCGAGTATTCCCCCCTTTACTCGACGAGTTTCACCTGAATGAATCGCGGGGCCACCCCGACTCAACTCGCCGAGTCTCAAGGACAACTCGGCGAGTCCAAGTTTGACTCAGTCCACTCGTCATCCCTTCTCCAACTCACCCTGACTCACTGAGTCTACCCATGACTCGATTGGACCACTCGCTGAGCAGTCCCAAGGCAATCTTCAAGCTACTCGCCGAGTTAGATGAACAGACTCGGCGATTCCATGCCATGCAACCACTCCAACTTGCTTCTAAGGTCAGATCTGCTTCCATAAACTATAGATCTGGCCTCCCTCGACTGATTCATCACGTAAAGCTCCTATCTTGGTGCCCATAACACACCCCATAGCTCATAAATGGAGTTTTTGACCTAAGGCATGAAGATTCCAATCCAAAGCCTCCATTGATTCCCAAAAAGCTTGGGTAAAGGGACACTCTGGACCTCTAAGGGTCCAGATCTATGGTTCAAACCTCATAAGGGACCAAGAGGACACTAGATCTTGCCATAAAAGGGTTCAACAAACCCTAAATCTAGATAAACAACAACAAGGAAGAAGGTAACTCAGATTTATTACCACAAAAGTGATGCTCTGGACTCCAAACCCACAGAAGTGGCTCCTCTTGCTTTCCCTTGGCTAGCTCTTCTCCTTCCTTGCAACAATGGCACCTCCAGGGTCAATAATGGCCTCCTACTTAGCTCCAAATGCTCACACTCGATTAGGGTTTCACTCAAGGGGCTGGTGAGCACAAATGACGGCCATTAGGCCCTTTAAATAGGTCTCAAACCCGAGAAATTAGGGTTTCATTACACAGCGCTGACTTGCCAAGTCCATATCCTGGACTCGTCGAGTCCAGGCGCGATCCCGCATCCAGATCCGCGTCCCTACTCGGCGAGTCTGAGCTCCAACTCGCCTAGTCCCCCTACAAATCAACAAAAAAAATACAATATACAAGATACCTGATAAAATCCGGCTGTTAAGAATTCTTATTGAATTAATATAGGTCTTAATCTATTAAGTAAAAAAGTTTACCCAAGAACATAAAATTTCTCATTTACTTGTTTAACCAAAATGCATATTCTCATCAATTCTTTCTCTTGAACTTACTCATATAATCTATTCTAAGTGACTTCAAAATCTTTTTAGCCATTTTCATAAAGTCGCAACTTCATAATCTCATATTTCTCATAATCGACCATTTTGCCCATTTGGTAAATATTTGAATAATAGTCAAATCTTTCTAAATTTTAGGTTCTTACAATAAAGGTTTTTGGCCTACTGTGACAAAAATAACAATGCATGTTCTATTACCTATGATAACTGAGGTTAATGTGGAGCTTGAGTAGCTTGACGTCAAACTGCATTCTTACATTGTAATTTAGACGATAAAGCCTTCTTCTACATCCTATCTCTTAGAAAATAAATAGGAAATGCTACAAGCTATTGTTCTACTTTTCACGATGACCGGTATGTCTCAGCCAGACGATTCCTTAATATTAAGAAAAATCATATATGTTTGTTGAAGAAATCTTTATATGGTTTGCCGCGGTTCCCAAGGAAGCTATACAAAAGGTTTGTTTCATTTTGGATTTCTTATGGCTGCGATCATTACCAGTTTTATAAGTACGTTTTCTTGAACAAATTTTTTGATGGTTCCTACATATATTTGTTGATATATGTTGATGACATATTGATTGCAGCTAAGAATATAGATGAAATTAATAAATGAAAATCCTCATTAAAAAGTGTATTCGAGATGAAGGATTTGGATGCAACAACTAATATACTAACCATAGAGGTTTGGAGGGTTTGATGAGCAAGGTGGTTATAAATTTCTCAGCAAATATATATTGGAAGTCTTGCAATCATTTGATGTACATCGAAAAGTCCAAACTATGTTGTGCACCTTTAGCACTTAGCATCAAACTTTAAACTAAACATGTTTTTTACTTGTTTTTATTTCAGATTACTTGTCTATGGGTTCGGTCTAACATTTGCTACGGTTTACATTTACATGTATTCCTAGCTATTGATTGCAATGTAATAACTTTGAACAACACTCGAATAATATAAGAGTTCTCATATTCTTAATTGTGGACGTAGGCCAGATTGACCAAAACACGTTAATTCTTTGTCATTTTTTTATTTCCCGTGTCAAAGTAGCTAATGTTTTAAGCATCTGATTTCATATGGAAAACGTCTTCTATGACTTCCAAGAAAGGTGATGTTTTAAGCATCCGATTTCATACGGAAAACATCTCCCATGTCAAAGAAGCTAATGACTGAAAAATGGTAAACATTGTTTCCTAGTTGAACATTGCCCACAAAGAAATAGTAAATATGAAATAGCAAATATGAAAGACTATATAACTTGAAGAAGATGGAGCAATAAGTGGAATCTCATATGATATATCTATTATGAATAATGAGGCCTAAAAAGAAGAATCGATTTTATAGAATAGTTTTTATAAAAGTGTTAATGTTGGGTAATCTTAATGGGTTAAGTGAATAGAGTGGATCGGGTTATGGGTCTCAGATCATGGTCCTGCTTGGTCTCAAGGTTAATAATTAAATGAACAAGAGTTAGTGGGGTTTATATATGCATGGCACGTTTCATGGAGACAATAAAGGAGTACATGGACTAGGTAGTTTGTTATTGTATTTGCTATTTTATTGTACTTAGCATGTAGTATATAAATAGATAGTTTTCGTTAAAATTATAATCAGTTTTCTTTCTTGAAAGTAATATAGCATTGAGAATACCCAATAACCTTGAGCAATACATGAGAGTCGATATGAGGGTGTAAGTTTGGTTCTTTATCATGTGGGAAAGGGGCTGATTTCCAATAGTTAACAAACAAAAAGGTTATCCCAATTCCAAAACTTTGGGGTTACTACTTTAAATTTAAGAGAAATTTTCTTTTGTAACTATTAAATTTTTATTTTATTTTATTTATTTTTGGATCGAAAATGAATTATATGTATATTATATATTGAAGTTTGTTTGTTGATTTATAACTAATTTATTTTTAAACTTTCAATAAATTCAAAACGGTGATGGTTATTCTACATTAAAGATAATTTTGTAATTTTAAGGTCCTCAAAAGTTATATGCTCGTCATTACTTGACACATTTATAAAATTTGTCTAATTTTTTGATAAACGTACCAAAACACTATACAATAAATCTGATCCAATCCAATTCAGTCCAGTTGATTTCCAGCGAGTACGTACATGTATGTACCAACCGCTAGCTAATTAACTAATTAAGTCATAAACACAAAAGAGGCCTACACTAGAAATTCATTATTCATACACATTCGATCAACATAACAATACATATATAAAATGCATTCAACAAACCAGTGCGGAATTCAGACTTACATCACATATAGAGGTTCTCGTTCGGCAACCTTTGTGAAGGGACAACGATGAGTGGTTCTTTTTTCTTTAGTGAAATTCCAAATTTTTCAGAGAGGTCATGCTCTTCACCCTCCGGCAAGCTCCAGTCAAATGAGTGTAAGAGCGATGCCAAGATATACATTTGCATTTTCTCCGCCAATGGAACACCTGGACACAATCTTCTTCCAGATCCAAACGGGAGGAAATTTAAATTGCCTCCTTTGAAATCATATTTGTTTGTCAAGAACCTCTCTGGATTGAATATTAACGGATTGTCCCAATACCGAGGATCCCGATGGATTGACCAAACATTCAGCAGCACAGTACATCCTTTTGGAATGGTGTATCCACCGACTATGCAATCCTGGCTTGGTGATCTTGGGAGTATGAGAGGGACTACAGGGTGCAACCGAAATGTTTCTTTAATTATTGCATCTAGGTATTGTAGTTTAGGGAGATGAGATTCTTCGACAATGTTGTCAAGTCCTACAATTTCTTCTAATTCTTGTTGAACCTTTTTCATTATGTCATCGTTTTGCATGATCTCTGCCATTGCCCATTCTATCAGCGTTGTGGTTGTTTCTGATCCGGCAACCATAATGTCCTGATACAACCAAAGTTCAACAAAATTTGTAAATTTTGCAGGCCGACTAAAAGGAAAATTCTAACGCCATTTCATTTCTTATTCATACAGCTGAATCTTTCTCAATTATTGATAGGTGTGACTACAATATTTGAACTATGCAAAATTAACTCTTTGGAAGTAATTTTAAAGAATATTAATTACCAGGAGAAGTGCCTTAATCTGTGTTATGCTAATCGATGTTGCGTCTTTTTGGTCCATGAGCTCTAACAAGATCTGTAAAAGATCCTTCTTTCCTTCATGCCCACCAGCATCCTTCCGCTTTTTTGAGTTAGATATAATTCGATCCTCGATAATGGTTGTGAAAATTTCATCCAACTGATGAAGTTGCCTCTTCATCTTCCGTAAAATGCCTTGTAGATCAAGCCATGCAACACTAGGGAAGATGTCAGAGAGATTCGGCTGTCCCAGAAGCTCAACGATATTTGAAGAAATCCGCTTCAACTCTGCTCCAAATTGGCGACCTTTTGCGTTTGGATCTGAAGTGTTTTCCCAAACCATGCTTGTGAGGACGTTAGCCTCTGTTGAGAAAGCAATCTCGCTGATGTCAATTGTTGTCCCGATTTTACTATAAATATTTTTGATAGTTTTCCTAACTTCATCCCTTCGAAAAAACCTGCACGCTTCAAGATTCTTGTTGCTTAGAACCTCTTGGGCAAATATCTTACGAAGGTTACGCCAAGCTGAATTGTTGTCAGAAAATACTACATTTCGGCCTCCATAGGAGATCGCTAAGGCAGCTATTGACGGATTCCGGTTAGAAAATATGTCATCTTGCTCACGTACCACAGCCTTTACTAGGTCAGGTGTATTTATGACGACATGAAGTTTGCTTCCCAAGTGAAACTTGAAAATGGGTCCGTAAATGTGAGCCATGTTACGGAATTGTTTGTGTAAGTCACGACCAAGAAATGGAAGGTAACCTACAATCGGCAAGGAACGAGGACCTGGTGGCAATGATGGTGCACCTGAAGAGCTCGAAGACTTCCATCTCCGCCATGAAATAGCAAAGATCATTACTGAAATGGTGGCAACTGCAAGAGTAAGGTGGTGTTTGTTGCTGGCCGACAGTTCCCACCACCATGATGAGTTGCTGAGTTCTTCCATTTTTTTGAATATGATGAATGTGAATACCATAAAAGAAAATCGACTTCCGGATTTAAACCCCAAGCGACTGCTTGCTTAAATTAAACAAGCCAAAAATGTTAAAATTATATATGCGTGATTCACATTTATTGCTTATTAATCCGAAAGTCAAAACCGTGTGAAACCTTATACTCTATTATTTTAGAAACGGTTAGATACCATTCATTTTCTGTTTCTATTTTGCATGACACATTGGTCATCCAGTTAGCGACATATCATATGATATAATAATTTTTTTTGTTCAAGATTAATAATTGCTTAAATTATTTATTAGGAAATTCAAAATGTCAATTCCATTATTGAAAGCCTTCCTGTAGGTAATATTTTATATTTGAGTGAATTATAGATCTGGTCCATGTGCTAGGTAGATACTCAGATTCGCATACTTGGTCAAACATTTGCAATGTTGATAGATCGTGTATTTGTGTTATGAAGAAATTACAATCGTTGGTCTCTCATGCATATGAAAAACACTTTTATATCTTTCTTTATTATTATTTTTTTTCTTTTTTATAATTAGAGAAAATTTGATTCATATCCTTTTGAATTTTAGATACTATTTCTACATCCTTCTAAAAATCAAAATTATTTCTATATCCTGATCAAATTATAAAATTTATATTTATATCAAAACGTAATTTTTAATTTGAATAATACCAAGTTAATATTAAAAAACTTATTTAGACCTTAAAATTTTATTGAATTTCTCAAAATACCCTTCCCAAGCAAAATCTCAAATTAAAGATTAAGCTAGGTATCTTGTATTTCCATATATCATCTTCGCCGTACACTAAACATCTCTAGATTGACTCTCATTTGTAAATTCAGTTCGTAGCTCTATGCATGTGGTGTCTATTGATCTTATATGTGTTTTTTTAGCATGAAATTCAGGAATTGATATGGAGTTTTTGTTATTTGGGACTTAGTAATATGTGTAAGTCGTAAGATCTCTATATTTAAAATTCCCATTGAGTTGGTGCCAAGGAATTCTGAAATTCGATTGTGACGATCTGGAATTGAGAATTCCACCCATGTAGAGATAATGAGGGGGGGGGGGGGGGGTGTCCAATGTTCAAGTCGGTAAGATGAAGGAGTAATTAGAACAAAATCAAAGATCACTACAAGAAAAATCCTAAATATCTACGGAAAGTTACTATGCAATCAAAATCCGTTGCTACTTTACTACGGAATATGCTACGGAACGACTTGTCGTAGCTATTTTGCTACATAAATGGTTACGGATTTGCATTATGTAGCTAAATATTAAATAGCTACATAAAGTTGTTACGGAGTCTAAATTCATAGCTATTTTACTACGAAATATGTTACAAAATGGTTTGTTGTAACTAATTTGCTACGAAAATGGCTACGGAATTGCATTCCGTAGCTAAATCTTGAATAATTGCTACGGAATTAAAATCCGTAGCTAGTTTACTACAAATAATGCTACAGGTTTTTTGGTTGTAGCTAGTTCTCTATGAAACTTGTTACAAAATCCATGTATGTAGCTAGTTGGCTACATAATTGGCTAGCTACAAAATAAAAATCCGTAGCTAGCTAGCTATGGAATTAGAATCCGTAGCTATTTTGCTAGGAAAATTTGCTACAAAATAAAATTTTGTAGCTAATCTATTATGGAATTTGTTACAAAATGATAAATTTACAAAATAGCTACGAAATCAAAATCCATAGATATTTGGTTACGGAAAATTCCGTAGTTAGTAGTTATGAAATATGTTTCCGTAGCAAAATATAGAAAATTATTTAAAAATATATATTAAAAATACAAAATTATTTTTGAAAACTCAACAACAAAAATAAAATATTATTTTTAATTGTTTTGAAAATTTAGTTATAACATAATTTCTACATTATAAAAAAAAGAATTAAAAAGTTTTATTTTGATTTTTTAGTTAAAAAAGAATTATCAAAGGAATTGCCACATAAAATTTGTTTCAATAATGTTTTAGCTTGTTTCAATAACGTTTCATCAGGGGCAAATTAGTAAATCCAGTAACCCCAATTTACTTCCTCCCAAATTAGAAGTATTTTTGCTGCGTTCAAATCCATCGCCGGACAAAAATCTCATCTCTTCCTCTCTCTCAACCTGCTGCCGTTGCTTAGCCACGTCGTCATCGTTGCTCACAACATAAAAACCCTCTCTAACTCATTCAATACCTTTTATTGCAAATTCGAATTGTTGCTATTTAGCAATTTTATAATTTGAGGTATCGCATTAGCTTCGCCCAGTACTTTACACCCAAACGCTAACCTTTCAGCTTCAATTAAAGTCAACAACGCATCCAAAGATGCTTCACAAACATCGGAATCGGAATCCCCCAACAGCGACACCAGCGGCGACACCACATTCGCTTCCACTAAACAAAAATTCACCTCCACTTCGCACATTCCTTGATGCACCGAACTCCTGGATTCCAATTGCGGCGAGCAGCACCGAAATAGACCCGCCTTTGGAATCGACTGGGTCAACTCCATTGATTTTTTCGAAAGGTGCGTGAGGGAAATCGATGCCTTTCGTTTCGTATTGGATAACCACAGGGACCACAGGGACCATAACTATAATTTACTCATATTTTCAATCGCCGACATTCCTCATTCCACAAACGGTTTATCTCGATCGTCTTCATCATCGTTTGATTTGCTTTGTTCGTTCACCGCTGCTCCGTTAACCGGTCGATTTTTCTCGATCGTCTTCATCCCTACCAGGTAACATTCTTCTCTCTTCATTCCTCATTTGTTTATGTTTCTCGATTTTTCTCTTTAGCACGTTAAATCCGCAAAGAATTGGATGAAGCTGCACAGGGATTTAGAGGTCTTACGATTATTTCCCCTATCCAATCCCTCTGTGACATTTCGTCGAACACCTTCCGACTGTTCGTGAACATTATTAACTTCATCATCAATTTGATCATCCCCTGTAGGAGGCATTTCCGGTCCGATAATCTGCATGAGGTGGGAAGCATCTTCTTTGAGTTTCTTTCTTTGAAGTCTCTTCCTCTGAGCTCTTGTGAGCTTTTGAGACCCTAATTCATCATCGTCCTCGCTTGACGCTGAGAAAAGGGTAAAACAATCACTCTACATTGTAGATTCCAACCTAATATGTTGTTCAAATTCCTTTTGTCAGGTATATACTGGATAACAAGTTTCACTTAATAACATTTCTTGAAGATGACACCAAATCTAATGGATATTCTTCAAAAGAATTGCCATGGCTTCCTGATATAGTAAAAGATTTTGTTCTTCCTGTTGGCTTCCCTGGTTTATTCCTTTTTCATTTTCACCTAATATGGTATCTCTAATATTTTTCTTCTCTAATTGTTTTTTTTTCAAAATCCGGATTTGTTTAATATGATTACTTGGAATACATGTTGTTACAGTTTCCAACCAATGTCACTGGATGGATTTGTCACACATTGGTCACTTCAAGTCTTCTAAAGGCATGTCAATCTAACTCAAGCCAGTACTTCTGATTGGGTATCATTCTAAGTTGCTACCTTTTTTCTAATTCTTATTTCTTTCTTTCTTTTTCTTAGCAAACAAACATTTTTATTCCCTAATCTAATTTCCTCTAATTCTTATTCCCTTTGATTTTCATTTCAGTCATCTCTTTTTATTCTTTTGTAATTATCATGATCTTTTTGTTTTATGTCATTGTCTAGTAGTTAAGGCTGAATCATAGATTTTGTAAAGGATAGAATATAGAATTATAGATTATAATGTTCTTTGATTATCGTTTTTTTTTTTATAAAATTCTGTGAATTTATATAATACAGGCAGTTGGTTTAGACTATTCTTCTGGAACCACAGCTGCAGCTTCTGCTGCTGCCATCAGGTAATTTTCTGTATAACTTGATACTACTATAATAGTATAATTGCAAGAATTTCTTTTTAGGGTTAAAGATATGATTATATAACTTTAACATATTTATTAAACACATGTAGATGGATGTCAAAAGATGGAATTGGTGCCATTGGATGTTTTTTCATTGGTAGGTTTTCTTCAAAATCTCATAAATGGATACAAAAACACCAAATTTGTGCATTACCCATGATGGATTTGCCTTTCACAGGTGAAAGATTTGGAAATATTTTGATGATGATCCAAAACAATGGCGCATGTACTTCATTGGAAGTGCTGGAAGGTGACTAATGGATTTTTTCTGTTATCCACTTAATACCAAGTTTTTTTTTTTTTTTTTAATTTAATTATTTTTTTCCCCTGTGTTTTAATGTGATATGCAGCATCTTTGATCTCACTACACCTCTCTATCCTGCATATGTGTTTTAATGTGATATGCAACATCTTTGATCTCACTACACCTCTCCATTTACAAGATTGATCGAATAACAAAAGGAATAACAAAAGCATTAAAAGTTAAAAAATAATATTCATTTTCTTTGTTGTGTGCTTTAAAAATTTTAGATATTCATTTGATTGATATTTTTAGTAAAGGATCTTCTGAAATGCATCGCAAACAATACGAGGATAATAATGCCGAGACAAAAGTCGAGATTGAGAATTTGAAGAAGTTAGTTGACACACAACGCGAACAATATGAGGATATTCAACAAAAATATGAGGATGTTCAGCAAAATATGAGGATGCTCAGAAAAAGAATGTGGAGTTTCAGCAGAAAAATGTGGATGTTCAAGCAAAGTTTGAACAACAACTTGCACAAGCAATGAATGTCATTTACACATTGAGGGAACAAGTCAAAACTTTTATTAAACAATGATAGAGTATTATGTATCCAATAATGTTTTATGTTAAATTTGTAGTGACTTTTAATTTTGAAATATGTATCTTTTGATGTATTGGATATTTCTTTTAGTTTCTATAGAAATACTTTGTTATTTTTGGTTTTATACTAATTGTATTTTTGTAAATTGATATAATAAGTCAAATTGAATAGCCGAATTTTATAGAAAAAATGGTATTGAACGATTGTTATGGAACTAACTACAAAAAAGTTGTTACGGAATTTGGAATGAATGGTACGGAATTTGCTATGGACCAAATGGCTATGGAATTTGCTACGGAACAATTAGCTACGGAATTTGCTATGGACCAAATGGCTACGGAATTTGCTACGGACCAAATGGCTACGGAATTTGCTACGGAACAAAATAGATACGGAATTTGCTACAGAACTCATTGTTACGGAATTTTGATGGAAGTGTGTTGTAGTTGAAATGCTACGGATAGACGTCCTAGCAACGGCCATAGCAAAATTGCTACCGAACTATAAATTTATAGTTAAACATTTTGCTACAAGAAATCTTACTATGGAATCTCATTGGCAAATTCCGTAGCAACTTCCGTAGTTATTTAGGTTTAGCTACGGAATTACATCATTTTGCTACGGAATTTTTCCGTAGTTAAATCAAAATTTTCTTGTAGTGGATGTATTCAACAACTGGGTTTATGGTGTTGGTATTTTTGTGGCTTGATACAATGTTTTGGGAGATACCAGTGTCAGGTATTTTTGATGCAAGTATAAATTTTGAGATCTTTTTTCGGTCATGGTGGTATAGTTTATTCTGATTGCTGCTCTTGGAGGATTCAATATCATTTCTTTCATGACTTTAAGAGTTGGATGTTATTTTAAGGATTGCTCTCATAGTCTGATGCTCTAATTGCTTGTTGTTTGAACTAGTCCTGATGCTCGTTAATGGAGGAGATGTGTTGTTGGTGCTTAATTAAATCATGGTTGTTTTCAAAGGTATTATAGTCTTATTTGAGGTCCAGATTATATTATGGAGGAGATGTTAGGTTGATGATATAAAAAATTGATACACTACATACATGAATACCTACGATGAGGAATAAATGGCGGCAGCAATTAAATGACGTGCAAGAACCTTTATAATATTTAATTAGGTTTAATGTTAATTAATTTGGTTTAATGCTAATCCTAAATAGCAAAGGGTATTTTAATACATTCACGTTGAATTTTGATTTCTTGATAACCTTTATTATATTAAATTAATTTAATTTTGATTTCTTGATAATTTTTTTATATTAAATTAACTTAAACCTAATAAAATTATGAGTTTTGATATGAACGTTTGTTTTATAATTTTTAAGGATATAAAAGAAATTTTGATATTTACAATAATATTTAAAATTTAGAAAGATATAAATGAAACTTTCCCTTGTAACATAAAAATACCCCACCCCACTCTCACCCATCCACCCCACCTCATCCTTCACACCCCACCATTTCCTGTCCTATCAACATTGCGTTCACATTCCACCCTCCATTCCATTAACAATCAAAACCATCGTCATCGTTGTTCACTACAAGAAATAGAGCCTTTTGCGGCGACACCAATAGCGGCGACAGGGAGCTTTAGCGGTGATAAATTAAAAAGTCGCCGCTAAAGGCTTGTGTCACCGCTAAAGGTTGAATGACACCGATCTGCTCTTTGACGTTCTAGCAAACACGAATTGTCCGATCGTTGTTCTAATCCAACGGCTAGGGTGCTCGTGGAATGCATAAAGGAAATACCGGCGACTTTTGTTGCCGCTGATGATCCAAAATAGTCGCCGCTAAAGATTAAAAAAAAAAAAAAAAAAAAAAAAAAAAAAAAAAAAGTGACGCAGTAATAATTCTCTCATGATAGTCGCCGCTATTCATAGTTGTCTCCGTTAAAGCCCAATTTGTCGCCGGTAAAGGCTGACGCAGTTAACCCCAATAAACTCGATCTTTTTCCTTTTGCTCTTTATGTTTCACTCCCTTCGCCTATTTCTCTTCTCTCGTCTGCATCTTACTTCGCCGATTATTGTGGGATACCAGTGGGAATTATCAATTTTGGGTGGGTGAAATTGTCCACAAAGAAGATACTACCGTTGGAGAAAGATTTTCCGGTGAGGACTAAGCTTTTCCGGCGACACCAAACTTTTTCCGACGACACCAAGCTATTTCCAGATCAATTTTCTGTCCCTCTTCTCTTGTAACATCGATTTTAAGCTTATTGGAGTGGTTAATTGTAAAAAAATTATCAATTTCAGTTTTGTTGATTATGTTACTACGTTCCCGACCACCACCCGAGACTACAGCCACCACTGGACCATTTTCATTGATTTCCACCACCACAAGTTCTATTTACTTCTATTTATTGTGAAATTTTTGTTTAATTGCAAAATATGTGTAGGTGTCTCAATTATTTAAAAATTATCATATGTATGTATGTTTGATATTTATATGTGAATCTATGTAAATTTTGGTGTATATATGTCAATGTATGTGTGTTTGATGTATATATTGTATATGACTATTTGGTAGAAGTATGTTGTTATTATGTGAAATTATGTGTATTTGGTATAAGTAGGATGTTATTATGTGTGTATGTGAATGTATGTATGTTTGTTGTATATGTGGTATATGAATGTGAAATGCACATACCGATAAGGATTGTGTATTTGTTACTACCGAGGCAGAACAAAAATATGTAAGTATTTAATTATAATTTTATTATATAATTAAGTGTTTATTTATACTTAATTGTTACTTACTTTTGGGAATTACATAATCGGTTAGTCGAAGAGCTCTTAGAACAAACCCAAGGTGAAAGTGAGTTAACACTCGCTGAAGAAATGGCCACTTTTGAGAAAGTATTAGGAGAGCGACATGGCCATATCAGAGGTATCGGTTGTAAACCTTCTGCTCTCCCGCCGATTTCACAGTTGTCGCAACCACCACCACAATCATCACAACCATCACAGGTAGAACAAGATTATTTAATTTCAATAAATGCATGTTGATTTGGTAATTTTTGTTGGTGGTGATTATTTTCTAAAAGATTTGGTAATTAATTTTTTATCCTAAGTGCTACAAATAGCAATGTACTTTGGTTTTTGTCTTAGTTTAAAATAGCGATGTACTCTGGTATCATAAAATGTGTTGATTTGGTCATTTTGGTTTTGTGGTGATTATTTGCTAAAAGCTTTGGTAATTGGGTTTTTGTCCCAAATGCAATAAATAACAATGTACTTTGGTTATTTGGCTTAGTTTAAAAATAGAAATGTAGTTTGGCATTATAAAATGTATGTTGATTTGGTCATTTTGGTTTTTGGTGAGTATTTGCTAAAATCTTTGGTATTTGAGTTCTTGTCCCATATGCAAAAAATAACAATGTACTTTGCTTTTTTGTCTTAGTTTAAAAATAGCAATGTACTTTGGTGTCATAAAATGCATGTGGATTTGGTAATTGTGTTTTTGTCCCTAGTTGGAAAATTTAACTTATAATTTATATATGTTGTTATTTATTATGTTGTTAGAAAATCATTGGGCATTGCTCAACGACCCGACATATAGGGAGGAGCTTTATTCTTTTTTTCAATCACAGAATAATCAAGGAGTAAATGATGGGACGAAGATGGTGCTATTTTTTAGAATTGTAAAACTTTCTTTGCTAATTGTTAGAATTATCAAATTTTTGGTTGTTTTATTTTGGTATTAAATTAATTATAATAGTATTTGGTATTTAATTTGATGTTGTTATGTAATTTTTGGTATATAATTAATTATAACAGTATTTGGAATAAATTATATCCAAAATCGCAAATATATTTAAAAAATGAAAAACGTTATTTCCGGCGACATAAGTATTACCGGAAACATTCTCTTTAGCGGCAACACAAAGTATTGGCGGCGACAGCTGCATTAGCGGCGACAACTGATTAATAGCAACGAAGCAGTAGCGGCGACTCTTTACCGATGATGTGTCGCTGCTACTAGCTTTAGCGGCGACTTCTTGATCCTTTACCAACGATTTTTGTCGCCGCTAATTGCTCATTTCCTTATAGTGGTTGTACACCACCAATCACTCCGGTCACAAGAACCACCAAGAACAATCACTCATTCAGTCATTCCTTCCCATCCAAAATCACCTCTAGTTACCCCTTCACCTCTAAGAACCACCGAAAAAACCATCCGATCACCCTTTTGCCATCGAGAATCACATAAACGTTTAACATCTGGAGATACAAAATGTTTCTTCTACTGGTCTTTTTTAATGAATTCTTCATTTTCTCGATTTTAATTTATCCAAAATTTTAAATTATCATTTTCGATTCAACCTTTTCATGTGCGCATTTCATGTGTGCAGATATCTCATGAATCGGGTGGAGGCACTCAAATTTTATTTTTGGTCTATGATTTTGTTTTCGGCAAAGACATTTATACGTAGGGATGAGCAACGGGCCAAACCCTGAACGGACCGATCCGAAGACCGAAAACCCGAAGAACGAAAATCGTGAATTACCTTACCCAAAAACCGGACCGTTTTTGTGTGTATCGGGTCCGGGTTCGGTCCGGTCCGATTCTGGATACTA